TTTTCCCCTCTCCTCTCTATCCGTTTGTCACTTGACCAAAAAAAGGGCGTCAAGAATGGACCATGGTTTCTCTACGGCAGGTTTAGTTAGCGATTCAGAGCGAATCGTGTGGCTTTTCCGACCGCTGATGTGGCGGTAGAGATGCAAGGCAGGCAGTGCCGAGGAGAGCTGGAAGAGTTTGTCGGGAACTGCCATAGTATGGTTGTTATCGTAGATGTTTGCTGGCTGACGACTTACCGTGGGAGTGCTCGCAGGATGCTGGGATGGATGCGGATGCCAGGCCACATGATTGCAGTCCAAAGCTTGGCTGATCTGCCACAGCTTAGTTAGTAGGTTGCTGCAAGCTGGGCGTTTAGCGATGGATGCCTTAGGCAGCTGGTCCTAAGGCATTTGCATGATTGCTATCCGATCTGACAAACTCAACTGGCATTGCAATGCCCTGCGTCCATGTCAGCTGGGGGCGTTTACCGATGGATGCCTTAGGCAGCTGACATGGAAGCTGACATGGCAGCTAAAAAGGCAGTTCAGATGGAAGTGGGGGGATTCTAAGCCGCACGATTGCTATCCGATCCGAAGCCGGCCAAGGTAACAGGCTGATATGACAGCTGAGGTGTCGGCTGACATGGCAGCTGAGATGGAAGGGGGGATTCTAAGTCACATGATTGCTCTTCTAAGATGGTTGAGGTACTAGCTGAAAGGTTGGCTGGCTGACAGGCAGTGACAGCTGACACGGCAGATGAATCGGCAGCTGAAATGGAAGGAGGAATCATAAGCCGCACGATTGCTATCCTAGGGCAGAGAAAAATTGGGTGGGTGGTGGACTTTTCGATGGCAGAGGTGTTGACTGGCTGACGGCTTCGGCAGCCGAATCGGCAGGTGAGATGGAAGTGGAGACTCTTAAGACATGATTGACATCCTTAGGCAGACGAGAAAGGAGCGGGGATGACGGGTGGGATGTTGCGTGGCTGATGGCTTATGCAGCTGACAGCTGACATTACAGCTGATTTGGTGGCTGAGATGGAAGGGGGGATCGATTCTTAGCCGCATGAATGTAACCGTAAGCTGGACTAGGTGGGGTTGGAGATGAAAGCTGTGATGCTGTCTGGTCTGCTGACGGCCTTAAGGGGCAGTTGAGGTGGAAGCTGAGATAGAAGGGGGATACTGAGCCACTTGATTGTCTTAGACAGGGTGTCTTAGGGGTGCCAGTACATTCTCTGGTGTCCGTCCTCACCCTGTCTATCCCACGCTACCGTATACGATTGGGTTATAGATTCAAAATGCCGCAGTGGAAGGTGTGCACAGAAGGAGCGGAAGTAAGGTTATTTACTTCCCCCAAATAGAACGTATAGTCATAAGAGCTGCAGTCGGGGTAACTTTCAGTTTTAGATAGAGCGGTAATGACAGTACGTTCTATTCGGAGGAAGAGTGTAGATTCCTTGACAAAGGGTGCCGATCGATCATCATGCGCTTGGGTGGAACACAGCTGCTGCCCACATTACCTGTTTGTGTAGACAACAGGCAATTTTTTCGATGCGGTGAGGGCAGAGCACGCTGCATGTTATCGTGCCTTTGGCGTGGAGCGCAGCTGCTGTGCGAGTCAGTGATGTGGTGAGGGCAGAGCATGCTGCATGTCATGTTGCTGGGCAGCAGAGAGAACTCTTTGTTGCGCCGGGTCATCGTTGCAAGAAGACTGGGAGCAAAATTATGTTGCACGGCTATAGCGACTAGTTTTGGAATCTTCATCTTGTTCTCAGCTATGCGGCAGCTCGTACACCTCTCCCGATCTTCCAGGCACTTGGAACTGTCTTATGGGGGTGTATACCTCTTATGGGGGTGTCCGTCGGGACAGTCCGTACCCGTCTGACAGGACGAAACTGGTGTAGCAGCAGACCTTCATCCTTGAGCTGTACTTCGTTCTTTCGAGTTTCTAGAGAATCGTAACAGCATTTGCAGTGGAATCTGGTCCTGCTTCGGCGGCATTCGAAGACAGCCATTCCTGCTTCCTCAGGGATGTACTTAACGCTCGACTCTTTGTCGACCCCAGGTAGGTTGTATACGAAAGACCCGTGACCTTCATCCTTGAGCTGTACTTCGTTCNTGTATACGAAAGACCCGTGACCTTCATCCTTGAGCTGTACTTCGTTCTTTCGAGTTTCTACAGAATCGTAACAGCATTTGTGGTGGAATCTGTTCCTTCTGCTTCGGCGGCATTCGAAGAAAGCCATTCCTGCTCCCTCA